GCACCCCCGCTGACTCCGAAGAAGATTGACAATTTATGACCAGTGCCTCTGCAATTTCCTCTCTCACTTACCTCAGTATCCTTGGAGCATCTCACCCAGTTGTGGTGCCTGAACAACTTTAAGTGCAGACTGCCTATCCAATCCCATATCCTTATCAATTTTAAACCTTTCAAGTGTCTGAACAATCTCGTCCTTCGCTATGATTGGGACAACCTCTTTTCTGGAAGAGACTGCTGCTAAATATTCATTTAGCATCAGCCAGGACTATTGCCTCCATGTGTAAATCCTCTTTTTAGTCTCTTTTACTTTTTGTGTCTATAGAAAACGTCTGCATTTATCTTTTTTGTTTGCTATCAGTCTCTTCTAGTACTCTTTGTTTGTTTCTCTAATTTGTTTTTCCAGTTCTCCCTGAACCTTCTACCCAACACTGACAGCAACTTGTACAGCAAAACATGATTGATATTAAATTGGTAATGTTGGCAGTCAGTTGGTGTGTCACAAATTATTTTCAACCTATTTGCGTTGCGTTATTCAAAAATAATGTGCCCAACCTTTTCAAGCAACATATTTATTTGGCAATGTTCTCAGATAGAATCAAGAGATGGAAAAGCATAGAACATGAAACAAAATGAACAATTTCAGAAGCACCAGACTCAGTTGCATGTCATGATAAAGCACTTTCCTTGCCCCCTGTTTATGCTAGAATGTGAAACACACATTTAACACAATTTCTTAAACATTTTTAGTTTAATGAACTTTCCTCCCAGTGATCCTTCGAATGATAGATACACACTTAGCTATTTATTTTATTAAGTCACACTTATTGTTGCTGGCATTTACTAGGGGAGATGTTCCTCTTCAGAGTTTGACCTTTGTTCCTGGTTTGTCTGAATGGAAGGGAATGTAGCCTTACTCCATCTCTCTACAGCTGGGGTTCAGTGGGTCACAAACTGTTGGTTTCACTTTTTACAGTTTATGACATTCGTGTTTCAGTTTTTGGTACTTGAGGTTCAGAGTTTGGGTTCATGGTATTTTGGATTCACTGTTTTCCTTGGCTCTCTAGTATGTGTACAAAGCAGAACTGAGCATTCAGAAAACTCCATTTTACTTCAGCTGACCTTTTGAAAACAAATAAATGCAGATAATTTGTTTTTTTGCACATTAGTTTGATGCCTTCAGGGTCAGTTAATGCCTGGTCTTCAGGAATGCCAGTGAACTATTTAGTTAAAGTCACGAGGAAGACTCCCAGACATGGAGCCATCAGACTGGAGCAACATCTTTGGACCAGTGTGTTGGGGAAAGCTCTGCCTAGAATAACACTGCTTGACAAAAAAGGCAAGTGAAGAATGTTATTCACCAGCTCCATATTAGCCCTCTTGTCAGATTAGTGCTCTTCACATCATCGTGAAGCTGCCCTGTGTTGATAATTATTGTTCATGTATGCATTGAGAAAAATGTTTACAACGAGAAAATGGCACCGTTTACATTTCAATCACAGTTTAACAGCATAATCATTGAGCTGGAATGACAGCTGCTCCCGAAGTTGTTGGATTGAAAGTTGAGCTGCTGCAGATTTGCCACTTCAGGCCTTCCAGATGTGATTAACTCACCACAATCCGCAGTTTGACAAAAATATCAGTACATAGAAACCTGTGTGAATGAACAGAGTTAGCAGGAACTGCAGATGCTGGAGAATCTGAGATAACAAGGTGTAGAGCTGGATGAACACAGCAGCCCAAGCAGCATCAGAGGAGCAGGAAGGCTAATGTTTCGGGCCGAGACCCTTCTTCAGAACTTCTGAATTTGCACTTCTGAAGAAGGGTCGAGGCCCGAAACATCGGCCTTCCTGCTCCTCTGATGCTGCTTGGCCTGCTGTGCTCATCCAGCTCTACACCTTGAATGAACAGAGTAACCACATTCAAAACTAATAGCTCCTGACCAAGTAGACAGAGGAAGAATAGTCATGAGAGTACACATGGAATTGTATCGCAGTGCGAGTTAGTGTGTGTGGGACCGTACCCCAGTGAGAGTCAGTGTGTGTGGGAGCCGTATCCCAGTGAGAGTCAGTGTGCGTGGGAGCCGTACCCCAGTGAGAGTCAGTGTGTGTGGGGCCGTACCCCAGTGAGAGTCAGTGTGTGTGGGAGCCATACCCCGGTGAGAGTCAGTGTGTGTGGGACTGTACCCAGTGACAGTCAGTGTGTGTGGGAGTGTGCTCCAGTGAGAGTCTATGTGTGTGGGACCTTATCGCAGTGAGAGTCAGTATGAGTGGGAACTGTACCCTAGTGAGAGTCAGTGTGTGTGTGGGAGCCATACCCCAGTGAGAGTCAGTGTGTGTGGGA